CTGTGTCACTGCCCCACACTATTGTACTGTCCCCACACTGTACTGTGTCACTGCCCTACACTATTGTACTGTCCCCACACTGTACTGTGTCACTGTCCCACACTACTGTACTGTCTCCACACTGTACTGTTTCACTGCCCCACACTGTACTGTGTCACTGCCCTACACTATTGTACTGTCCCCACACTACTGTGTCACTGCCCCACATTATGTACTGTCCCCACACTGTACTGTGTCACTGCCCCACACTACTGTGTCACTGCCCCACACACTTGTACTGTCCCCACACTGTACTGTGTCACTGCCCTAATGTTGATATTACTGGAGGAAACAGCACAATAATATTTGTCATTGTCGTGTTTTCCACAGATCTGGAGAAGGCGGAAATAACCTGCCTGAGAGAGTGGTGGGCCTCTCACCACCATGAACTTTTGTCATGGGTGCAACAGAGGGACCCCTCTCAACAGGTGGCCCAACCACCAAGGTGCTTATCTTTCAATAGTTGAACAAGTTATTTCTTTGTAATAATAATATAGTCACTCCACATATTGTAATGTTATATATTTTCTTGCCAGTTGTCGTATGGCTGCTGTGATTGGCAGGTCATTATTATCAATAATTTTCCATAAGGATTGACCACTCAAGTGTGGATGTGTTGTTTTGCAGGGTGCAGGACAGTGCCAGGGTGCAGGACACTGTCAGGGTGCAGGACACTGTCAGGGTGCAGGACAGTGCCAGGGTGCAGGACAGTGCCAGGTTGCAGGGTGGCCGTGATCATCCCACCAAAAGAAGTAATCCATCACCCAGTGGGTCGACTACACCTGCTAAACGTAAGTGTTGAATTTTTCACGTTTTATTTTTTGTTTTCGTCATTAATTGGTCTTATTTTCCTCGCGTGTGTTGGTTAGGGTTGTCATGTCTGAACATTAAAAAAAAGAGGACGTTCCCGAAGACGACCCCCCCCCCCTACTCCCTGGCACACACTTTGGAGTTATAACCAAAGCCGCAGGACAAATACTTTATATATATATATATATATATATATATATATATATATATATATATATATATATATATATATATATATATATATATATATATATATATATATATATATATATATATATATATTATTATTATCTAGACTCGACTACGGCATTTTTACGTGGGACTTGATGACTGCCGTAATTTTTTTTTTTTTTTTTCCAAATGACACGCATTTTCTATACCGAAACGTTTCCAGTTAATGTAGTCTCCATGTATAATTAGAAAATTATGGGGGCCCCATGTGCATTCAGAAGACTACATTAAAGGTTAAGTGCTCAGTCACACTGTATCCATTCATCATTATTCATTACTTTTACTGTACTGTATTTCATTGTAGATTTTTTTTTTATCTATGTCGGACTTACGACCATGTCGGACTTACGACCTGGATTTGGGTCCCTAACCCCGTCGTAAGTCGGGGTCTAGGTGTACATATACATACCAGTATCGGTGTACTGTATTGCATTGTGTTTTTAATGTCGGCTAATATGCAACATACGTGGTATAGAAATCTTAAAAATAAAAAAATAAAAATTTCCTTTGCTTAAGGCTGAATATCTTCTTTAGCTGCAGTCTTCTTCCCCCACTGTGTGTGTGACTTTGTGCCCATGCATACTTTTCTGTAGATCGGATCTTTTTCAGTATTGGCTGATTGCTCTTTAGAAAGGTATAGAAGTCACTGCAAGATGTTTCTCAGAAGTTGTAATGTACAGTCAGAATGCCTTTCATTGTTTCAACACTCAATTTGTTCCTTTCCTTTGTCCATTGACTTTGCATCAGTGAAAAAACTTTCTACATTTGCATTGTGAGATGATACTGTACTGTATAGCAAAGAAGAATTGTGGAATTCTTAGCAATTCTGAGTGACATTCAAAGTTCTTTGAGTTTTCAAAGTATTTGGTCCACTTTTTATGTGTTGGCAGATTACTAAATTCTTCATCACTTGTAATTTTCCACAAACTGCTTCAGGTTACTAACTTGGTCAAAACACTTCACATCAACTTTTACCCCCTTATCAATCAAATATTTGACAGCTAAGTTGACAACACTGTATAGGCATACACGTGACTTATCAGCTGACGAAAACTGAACGAGATGTCTCCGGTTTCCACCTCCCCTCTTTCTCATCATTACAGTTTCACGTTTTTTTTTTCCATGGAGAAAATAATGGAAGCTGAAATTCGGGATTTTTGAAGAATTTAAAAAGTTCCTTCCGGATGAAGATTTCGAGACCTAAATGGAGGAAATGTCCGGGAAAATACAGACGTATGGCAACCCTACTATTGGTATACGGAAGTCGATTATAGGAAAAGTACACTCTCAGCCTAACCTAACCCCTTGATGAGTGAGGTCTGGCAAATGTGGAAAAAACGTTTTAGAATGATTTATCCTCCGGGATGTACGACCGACTCTGCCTCCATCCAACACCGTGCGGCAGACGCGTACACGATCTTTTATTTAACGATATTGACGATGTTCAAATAGCCTTACACAAACTGTCAAACTCAGACCCAAGTAGAGTACAATTATACAAGACTATCAATGCAACTGTTGCTACAATGTGTAATACAAAGATAAAGATGAACGAGTGGACACCAGTGAGAGTGGGTGGCCAGGAACAGATGAGGCAGGGGCCATGGAGGAGGAACAGGGGCCTTGGAGGAGGAACAGGGGCCATGGAGGAGGAACAGGGGCCATGGAGGAAGAACAGGGGCCATGGAGGAGGAACAGGGGCCATGGAGGAGGAACAGGGGCCATGGAGGAGGAACAGGGGCCATAGATTGTGTTCATGTGGTGTTATTCAGTTGGTGAAGAGTGCCCATAACTTATTAACTTGAAGATTAATGGTGGCTCTTATGACACAATTGTTAACTCAACACATCTTAATGCTGGGTTCAAACAGCTGCCTTTATCCCAACAGTTCAGGAGTGAAGGTTAACAATTATACTCTGTATAAAAGATTTAAAAAATGACAACCAAATTACCATAATAATTGTGTGTAGGTTCCATAACATAACAAACAACTAATATATAAACAATAAACTATTTTGTAATAGTAATTTACTCCCATAAATAATAGAGCAGCACTGAATGGTTAATACTTAACTAAACCCAATTTGAAAAGGTATCCACCACTGACAAACTGAGACATCCTTCCACCTCCAAGGCCAGCCAGTGACTGACTTGGCTCCATACTTCAGGGAACCAATATTAATAAACTCCCACATTATGCTACAAAAATGCCTTCATACATACAGAAAAATATTTGATGTATCAAATACCAGCCCTGCTCTCACATCATTAGATACAATTATATTTCCATAACTTGGGGTGAAATATATTTCACTGTACACAGTACATTACCCCATTCATAACAACACACCATCAATATAGTATTTCAACTGTTGTAAATTTGTTAACTGAAAGAATGGATTATGAAACTGTTTGTTGTGCAGTTCATCTAATACTTCATGTATATAGTTACAAGTCAACCATTTTATGTGTTTTTGTTTATTTACTCGTGGTTTTGTGTTACTGGTTGAATCGGAGAACTTTTATTAATGTTTGGTCTTTTAAAACATTTGGACCATTTTATTGTATGTAAAATTTTAGTGTAAACTTTGTATTAATAATTTGTGATCATTAAAACATCTATCTATCTACAGGAGCATATATGTCACCTCCTCCATTTGACCTGGAGAGCCTCTCAAAGGCAGAGGGAGCAATGTCGGCCAGTAACGAGTTATGCAAGTCACTATATTGTTCTGTACTGCCTTCTCTCCTTCCTCCTCCGTTATCCTTTTCTCCCTCCTCCTTTATCCTTCCTCCTCCTTTATCCTTCTCTCCCTCCTTTATCCTTCTTCCTCCTTTACCTTTCCTTCCCTTCTCTATTACAGTAGTAAACAACCTAACTGGTAATAGGCATTTGATGACCTTTTCTGCTATTCTTGGTCACACTGCCTAAACATTATTATTGTAAGTTAAAACAATTGTCACTCAACATTTTCAGTGTCCCGGCCATCGACCTGTGGGGAGGTGGGAGCCAGCGTTAACCAAGACCCCAGAGAATATGTAACAAGTGAGAGGAAGTATTTGTTGTGGCATCTGTGTGTTTGTTTACGTGGCATTAAAACTCCCAGAATGACCCCTAAGGATCCTTACAATACCAGCCACACTTGATTTACTCTTTGTATTGATGTTACATAATGTTTTTCAGGTGTTACAGGGAACATAGGGACGTGACAATTGAACAATTTTTAGACGCTGGTAAAGTGGGGGAGCTGTATGAAATAGCTGTAAAGATAAAGAGCTTCAATATACTGAAGACACCACATGCAGGTATTGTTATCAGTAATAGTAAGTGTTGTATACATCTAAAATACCTTAATGTAAGACAAATACAATGATAAAATACAATAAATCAAGTAAATGAAATACAGCAAGCTCTTAAAATTTGTGAGGGTTTGGATCTCAATATGGCCATGAATAACATTTGCCCTTAGGACAATTATTTTTTTTACCTGTATTGTGTGCAGATACATATACACTACAGGTAAAAGAAATTACTGTGTATAAAATAAATGGCTCCCTGTCCCGGCTGATAACAAGTGTCCACAGACATTGTTGGGTACATCCAGGGTGTCATCTGTGCACAATGGAGTTGTCAGGGTATGAGGGCTTGTGCTGCCACCATTTATGAGGGCCTGAGCTGCCACCATTTAAGAGGGCCTCTGTGTGTCAGTAACAATTCCTTTTACTCTCATACTTATTACCATTGGTAGCGTGACGAGAGAAGGCTCGTGGGTAGATGTAATGATAGTATCAAGCAATAGGGAAGAAATAACGGTAAATGCTGTAGGTAAATAATAGACACAATTATACAGATACAAAATTTATTTAAACATGAATATGAAATTAGGAGAAAGAATTTATTTGTACCAACAGACGAAATCTAGTACTAGGCCCTCAGGCTCAACATACTCACACCATTACTGGGTGGACATACTCAATAACACTTCCAACTCTACTGGGTGGACATACTCAATAACACACAACTCTTATTGTCACTTAGCACCATAAAGACCAGGCCAACTGCCACTACAACACTCAGTCGTCAGGGGTGATACTCAAGCAACAGCCATGGGGTCCAGCCACCATGGAGTACTTTCCGACGAACTCTGAAGATCCCAGTGGATTAATTCCACCACACAAATAGCCCTACTGAGTTAGACACTCATCCACCAATGATGGGGGCTGGTAGTGGTGTGTGGCTTGGTGATTCGGGGTCGCCTCGCAGGCTGAGCGTTAGGGCCAGACGAGCCAGCTATGGGGGCTATAGGTAGTCTGAAGTGTCTGACGGCCGGGTCTCACGAAGATAACTGATCCTACTGGACCTCGGACATCTCCCCAGACATAGTGGATACAACATCCATGCTACAGACACGGCCTAGGCTGCGTTAGGGACCTGTATGGGTGAAGGGACGGGCACTCACTAACGGTGACAAAAACATCACGTTTCAGGGGACGTTAAAGACGTAAATATGACTTCACTCAGAGCATATCAACTACGTTACTGTAACACTTGCACAATCAACTATTAATTGGGTCAAATCACTTAAAGAAGGGCGAATTACAACACAGCGTGGAATGGCATACCTGTATGGATGAAGGGACGGGCACTCACTAACGGTAGAAATGCCAGCGGCGCCCTCACTCAAAATAGGCCAGGGAGTCCACCTACTTCTATTCCGATGAATTAATTTACTGTACACTCTGACGTTGAAACTGAGACTATGAACTCGGTTTCATTCCCTACTGTTATCTTCACTAACAATGCTCTGACTCAGCTATCAAAAGCAAAATTAAATTGATTACAAAGGGTTGGATGGCAACAGGTCCCAACATACAGCGTCTGCTACTAAATCCGTGGATTATATTCAAAGTTCCCTTAAGACAAAGACGGGGAAACAGAGAAAACGGGGGACGTTTCCACTGGGGGACTCGGAAGGTTTTGTGGATGTTTGAGCGTAATATGAATCCTTAAGGTTTTCAGGTTAGCCATTATCACGATCATGACAAGGGCAAGTTGTAACCTCGTTGATAAGTGAGGAGCATATATAAACTGACTGTGTGAGGACTTTACTGTGGTGTATGGTTGAGAGTTAACAACGAGCTGCTGTGTTATCTACCTTGCAGGACCAACACACTGTAGTTTGTTTATCTCGCAGTACTCAACTGCCTTTCGTCCCTCGGTGTACCCCCATCAACAAAAACGTGTTTTGCGTTGACAGATGAAGCAGCTACGAGGGACTGCAGGTCCTTAGAGGGTCGGCACGAGTACAGTCATACCACAAGATGCCATTGAACTGGAATTTGCAGAAATTTGGTCCGAGACAAAAATGAAAGCTAATCTGGGTGGAGAGGAATTGAGACGATTCTTTGGTAAGTATGAAAACTTTTATTCTTGATGTCATCTGTTGCTCTTAAGAGTTCTTTATTATGGTTGGAGGTAGAGGTATTGGTGCACACACACACACATGTAACTTCCTCTGAAGACTCACATTTAATTAGGGAATTACCAGATATTGTTAAAAAACTGTGTCTTAGTTGACTTCTCTGAGATGGGTGGACGGATACAGGCAGTTATATGTAGAGAGAGGCTGGCCACTTGATCTGGGACTGAGGACTGTGAGCTTGAGAGCAGTGTTAGAGATGGTGTTTAGATCTGTTAGGAGTGAAGGGGTCTCTCAGGCTACTGCTCAGTGGTAGATCAGCAATGTGTGGTGTCCAGCTAAAGACTGACTAGCTATACCAGGGCAGTGTAGAGTATACCCAAGACAATATACCATAACAACAGCATTATATTCTCTTAACATCATTGTCTCCTGTACAACACTGAGTATACCCAACAGAACCTAAGACAATATACCATAACAACAGCATTATATTCTCTTAACATCATTGTCTCCTGTACAACACTGAGTATACCCAACAGAACCTAAGACAATATACCATAACAACAGCATTATATTCTCTTAACATCATTGTCTCCTGTACAACACTGAGTATACCCAACAGAACCTAAGACAATATACCATAACAACAACATTATATTCTCTCAACAGCTCTGCCTACAGCTTATTCGTGGGAACAAGATGGACTTGACCGTCAACTGTCGAACATATTGAACTCACTGAAGGAATCTCAAGAGTATTACTTCTTTGGAGTAAGAAAGAACTCGACCGATGACGGTAAAATTTTCTTCGAAATCACACGGACGGCAGTACAACTCTTGTCCATGTAGTGATGATTGTCTCACTTACATTACTTGTATTATTATTATTTTTATTAACCATTCCTAGTTGATTTAGTACCATAAGCTGTTGAAGCCCAGTCTTGTACAGAAGTAAACGTTAATAGTTTATTATGGTGTTTTGGTATTGCCCAAATTTCACCACATTGTAGTATTAGCTCTAATTATTCCTTTGCAGCATCATGGATAAATAAAATTACACTGTTTCCTCACAATTTTGAGCTGCCAGTCCCTCTTGTGCAGGGGTGGCCAGCCTTTTGTGTGATGTGATCTACTTTTTCCACGGTTACCCTGACTCGATCTACCAGCCTAATATTCACCCATTGCCACTAAATACAGAGAGAGAGAGTAAACAAATAATATTTTTCAATAATTGTTAGGATATATTGTTAACATGACAAAATCATAAACTTGCTTTACTAATGAGATGGTTAGCACTGCATGTGGTGCAGGAGATTGGTCCTAGAGCAGGGCTGGGGAACCTACTGTAAGTGTCCAAGGTGGCACATGGCAGTACATGATGCTGGGAGTGATTAGTTTTTTATACAAGTGTTGGCTGGGGGATCATGTGAGTGGACAAATGTTTTAAAGTCCCTGCAGGTCAAATCAGTATTCAGGTAGTGACAGAAGTGAACGGTTGGCGTTGGTTTCGTTCTGTTCATAGTTTTTCTTGTGTTGTTTGTTAGTGAACATTGAATTGTTTTTAATTTTTTGAACAGGTTTCTTAAAGTGCTTGCCTTTATTTCAGTCTCCCTCTCTTGTAATGTGTTAGTAAAACAAAATGAATACCAAGTTAATACAAATTTATTATTATTATTTTAATGTCAAACAGAATTGGTGCCTTACTCAACAAGGGGGTACAGTACAGTACAGGTTGTACCTCTCTAGTCCGGGACCTGACCGGTGCCGGACCATGGAAATTCACCCTTTTCCTGGATAGATGGTGACTTGTGCTTACACGCGAGCACCACTTTCTCTGCTTCGTGGTCTCTTTGAAGACATATTGAAGGGTTAAATGTCGTACAGTAGCTTCTCAAATTTCGCGAGTTTTTAATTCGACGTTTTTTATTTGGGAAAAAAAATACACAATTTAAAATTTTGAAAGGCGGAAACTCAAATTTCGACGTTTTTAAAAGGCCTGTCAATGTTCAGACGTGCACAATCGTGTAAACAGCGTCATTTCTCTTATGTACAAAAGATTCATTATTGTTTATTACTGAATGTCTTTTTGATTGAATTAATGTTTGTTTGCAAAATGAGCAATACAATTCATTGATAATACATAGAATATTAAAACAAGCGAGGAAATGAGACAGCATTGTTTTAGTTGATACATATCGTTATTGCTTTACATAAGAATATGAAAGCAACACTTATTTACTGTTCAAACAGAGAGAGAGAGCGAGCGAGCCGAACTGCTGGATGTAAACAAACCTTAATTTCCCGCGGCTTTTTTTTTTTACGGGGTTTACCCCACCTGGGCACAGGTCACTGACCCACATTGGGGCCTGAGGGGCGAAAATTTAATACTCCTGTAATAATAATAATTCAGATAAGTAAAAAATAAATAATAATAATAGCTGCCTATCTTCCTATTGGGCAAGCTAAAATCGTTCCGTACCACAGAATGCCGGCTGACTAGAGAGGTACAACCTGTACTGTACTCGGCCTCCACAGGGGGGTGTACTACAGGATGTAACACTCTAGTAGGGTTTTGGGGGGTTTCTTAGCATCCTGGGACAAACCAGGATATTTCCTTGGATTTCCCGCATCAGGTGATATTTGTATTAACTAATGCTATATGCTAATCCTACATACTGTACTTCATTAGTGTAGTATCTAAATTATTTGATAGGCAATTGATTTGATAAATTTTATTACACTGAAGCAAAGTTCTCTTTATTAACTTGCATACTGGTGTAAAAAAAGGTTTTGTTGTTCCATTACCCTCAAAAACTTGGGTCGACTTATAAACGAGGAATATCATAAATTAACGATTTCTTGGTAAAAAAAATATGGACCGACCAATAAAAGAGGGAGGATTATTATTACGAGACTTTACACTGAAACGAGGGTAGTTTCAACAAAAAATATTGTATATTTCCATTCAAGTATTTATTCAAGTCAATTAGGAGGTGTCATGGGTTTGGTATGAATCCGTGGTAGTAGGAGTGGATTATATTATATAAAGATAATAATATGTCGTATTTCTTATTTCTTACCGTAGAGTCCGATACCTTCACACTGATTACTTACAGGAGATTATGGCGTATCTACGTAGAAGTTCACTCCACCACTCGACATTCCATTATTTATACTTGATAAATGATGATTTAATGAATTCATTTAATTTTCAACATCCATCTAAGTTATTGGTTATACTATGTCATAACCAATCAGTCATTACCTTTAGTAATAATAAGATAGGATCACAGATACGGGCAGATAATTGCACTTACATTTATTTGTCAAGCTTCCATACAATGATTTACAATTTGCATGGATATGAGTTACTCACGTTCACGCTGTAATAAAATGAATCTTCTAAAACAGGGAATTTTAAACTTGGGGACACATTTGGTTACTCTACTATGGGTGGGACTTAACAGAGCCTTAATTCTTCAAGTGATACATTTACTGCCAGCCTGGATTGCTTTTGTTGCAACCAGGCTTCTGCACAAGAACTTCTTTCCACGGGCCACAGCAACAAAAAGTACTCTTGGGTTACCACACATGGTGTCGTGCAGGAGAACTCTGTAAGCGTGACTTGAATTAACCATCTAGGTGCAATAGACCAGCCTGGATTGCTTTTGTCGCAACCAGGCTTCCACACGTGATATTTCCACGGGGATAACAACCTAGGTTAACACGCTTAGTCTCGTGTCGACCTTCCACGGCCATAACAACAAAAGGTACTCTTGGTTTACCACACATAGTCTCGCGCCACTGAGTCACGGTAGACGGTTGTCGAGGCAAGGAGAACTGGTAAGCGTGAACTGAATTAACCATTTAGGTGCAATAGACCAGCCTGGATTGCTTTTGTCGCAACCAGGCTTCCACACGTGATATTTCCACGGGGATAACAAACCTAGGTTAACACACTTAGTCTCGTGTCGATCACGGTCACAGTAGACGGGTGTCGTGCAGGAGAACTCTGTAAGCGTGAATTAATTAACCATTTACTGTAGGTTTGATAGGCCAGCCTGGATTGCTCTTGTCGCAACCAGGCATCCACACGTGATATTTCCACGGGGATAACAACCTAGGTTAACACACTTAGTCTCGTGTCGACGACGGTTCACAGGACGGAGTGCGGTGGAGGACTCTGTGTGGTGTGGTGTGGTGTCCTGCCCCCCCTTCAGGAGGGAGAGGATGGAGACGACGTCCTAACTAACCCATGGCTCAGGGGATACTGCTTAAAATGAGGTTTTTGGGTGTGAAGCGATGAACAGTACAACACTGTTTCACTGCCCACCACCCTAAAGGCTGGCTGACATACACTAATTGAAAAATACATGTCCCAGTTATGCCTCGCCGGGCGTCTTATCTCTGGTAAAACAAACTTTGGAGTTGGTTGCGTGGGTAAGCCTAACGCAACCCATGACAGGAGGGAATATTATTGTAATACAACAGTTTTTTTAACTGAAAACCATTCGAAAACCGATTACGGTAACATCTTTTGAACAACGAAACAAAGTGAAAGTGGATTGTTTTCGTCATAATTTTATCCCACTTTCCACTGTAATACGTACGTCATTTCAGAAAAAATATTACATTTCTGTGAATGCATTATATCAAGCATAATATGAATAGAATACCATTGTAATATAACAGTATTTTAACCAAAAACTATTAAAAAACGAGTAACTTCTCTTGAACATCGGAAGGTTAGGTGAAATATTTTGTTTTCGTCATGTAATTTATCCTACTTTACATTGAAATACATCGTTTCGGCAAAACTACTATTTATTTCCGAGAATATATTCATTCAGGCACAGTTAAGGTAAAATATACATGTGATGTAACAGTTTTTTAACTGAAAACGATTCGAAAAACACGTGTACCGTCTAGCTGATACTCAACAGCTGGTGGTGCGTCATGCATCGTTGTAAACAATAGGAGGTTGAAGTAGATTACCGGGTATTATATTAAGTGTGAAATATCGAAAAGGTTTTTAATACCGGTATTTTTTGTAGATCAATGAGAACTGTGATACCGTATATGATAAGTTAGCCTGTGCTAAGAACTTCAACATAGACTACTGAAAGCACGTTGTAAGGTAATTTAGCATATTGTAAGTTGGTGAGCTTCATTTACTGAAGGAACTGCACAACTTTTCATTACTAATTGGTGCGTATTTTATGTTTCCATTGTTTACTGGCAGTAAATGGTAAATATTTTTCATGTCTGAAGCTAAAAGTTGCTCCTCGCCCTTCCCATCATGCACGGGTCGACCTAACAAAACTATTACGCATGTATAGAACGACCCCCAAATTTTTGCCTAAAAATTTGGTCTTAAAAACTCGAACTATACACGAGTATATACGGTACTTCTTTTCAGTTTTCACAGAAGAAATTCGCGAGGAAATTCCAGAGCTGGAACTGATATTTAGGGGAAAGGAAGAAGAGAAATTAAAGAATATCACTATCAGAAAAGAGGATGTTCAGAAGAGTATAAATAAACTAAAGAAGACAAAATCCCCAGGGCCGGATGAAATTTTCTCTTGAGTCTTGAAAGAGTGTAGGGAACAGATTAGCTGACCCCTCGAAAATTTATTTACAAAATCATTAGACACGGGAGTTGTGCCAGACTTGCGGAAACCGGCAAATGTAGTACCCATATTCAAAAAGGGAGACAGAGCATCAGCGTCAAATTACCGGCCGATCAGTTTGACGTCAGTAGTGGGGAAATTTCTTGAATCAATTATAGCA